GCGGATCAGGGCGCGGAGCCTCCTGGGAGTTGAAGGCGCCACTAGTCAACGGCGCACAGCACTCTGGGAACTCTGCAGGGCTGGAGTAACTTTGCGTGCAGTTGGGCTGCGAACTTGGGTGGAACTGGTCCAAGGTTCTGTCGCGAACTTAGGTGGAACTCTCCAAGGAACAAAGTGGACCGCCGAGGACTGCACCGGCTCCCTGGCAGCTGCGCACTTCCTCTGACTTCTTGCCTGCCCCTTGCCCCACTTCTGTAAATACATAGTTTCGTCATCCCTCTACCCAGCAGCGGTTAGGGTGTGGGTCATTTATGAAACTGCGTGCACTGACGTCTTGCGGCCCCAGATCAGTGTTCCTGTGCACAACCGGCCGCGCTAATCCCTAGCACTGTCGTTCTCCGAGAGATCCCTAGGTGCTAAGCAGGAACCGCTTTAAATGGACCTTGAAGGATATACCTGGTTAAAGGATCAAGCTAGACAAATACCCAGACTATTTTCACAGTAAGTCTGTGCAACCGCCCCGTTGTTTGTTAAATGAAGCAACTCATTAATCACCGTGACCTCTTCCTCCACCCCAACCCACACCCCAGTCGCAGGCCTGACAGGCAACCCTCCTGGATTAGACATCACAGTACATACATCCTGAACCTCAGGAAAAACCTGATTTCCTTCAGAAACGCTATAAAGACCAAGATGGATAGTGACTTGTTCTTCTGTAGATAGCAGGACCAAGAAGCACCTCTATGGGACATGCAAGTGCTCACCATGGGGTTGGTAGCCTCTCCTACAGAGAGCCATCAACCTTCATATTGAGATCACCCTACTTCTGTTGTATTCACTGACTGCTTCCCTCGTGTTTCTCTTCATTCCACATACCATGATGAGAAAACAAAGCTACCTTGCAGGTGTCTTCGTGTAATATGCAGAGAAAGGCAGCCCTGGGCATAGACTTTTGTGGATCAGAGCCAACCTGATATACTCAGTCTCTCAGAACATTCCTTTGTTGCTGGCCCAGCAGGCTAGGTCTTTGTGAATACTGATCCCAAAAGAGGCAGAGTGAAAGAAAATATCTCCTTAAGAACCTAATGTGTGAGGGTCAGTCATATGAGCTCTGCCACCCCTTCCCTACTCCTGCCTTTGAAGCCAGATATGAGGTCATCACATGTTCCTGGGATAGCACTCTGGCTACACCAATTTTCAGTATGAAACCAGAAACTAAAAGTGGGAGGTTGAGACTCAAGCTGCCACTCGGGCCAGAGATAAATTCATACCATCCAATAGAGTACAACCTTGTAGGCAGTGATTCATTAACATCCAGGTTTAGAGCTGTCAGCCTGCAAGAAGCCATGGGAGAGACCAAAGCCATCAGAAATGATGACCCTGTGGAGACCTGTGGCAAAGGGGTGGGACCTCTATCAGAGTACTAAGGCTGGAATGGATGCCTGGTGCAGACAGCTTCACTAGGGTGAAGTATGACCCTTGGTGCTAGGAGAAAAGAAAAATCATAGGTGAGACTGGCTGGGAATAAAGGTATGGATGGAAGAATTGGAAAGGAAATCATGACTTCCTTACTGGAGGTGGCAACAAAAGGGATCTGGCTCCTTGGAGTAAGGAGCCTTTCAAGCCTAATGGAGTAAGAGGGCTAGGAGGGTTCTAGAAGTTTACAAACAGCTTCAGGCTGACCCCAGCACCCGGACCAAGAACACCTGCTGGGGAGAGTTTACAGTGATAGACAAGTAGGCTCATCTCAGCCCTCCAGGAAGTTGTTTCCACCCTTCTGGTTTACCACCCTAAAAGAACAGAGACAAGACCCTGAAACTGTGGAGTCCTTGAGCCTCAGGTTCCTCTTTTCCATGCCAGAGACAGTGACCGCTGAGATCCTCTGCAGGAACCCTGGCTGACAACTTCTCCCAGCTTTCACTCCTGTTGTCCCTGCTGCCCAAGCCCCCAGAGTGGGCCCACCCCCACAGCAATATTCTCCAAGCTGCTGGCATATAGACCATGGCCTGCTACAGATATATCTCTTCCCTTTCACCACAGGATGGAATCTGAGTGGGTCTGGCCCCCGCTCTTGCCAGGATGTGGGTAGTAGTTGTGCCACCTCTGACCTAAGATTGACCTAGTTTGGCCACGTGTACACAGAGTATTTGAGCCACTCAACTCACACCTGCTTACCTGCTTGTCAGGGGTCATTGCTGGATGAGTCCTCCACCCCCACCACCTGTCCCTATGGATCTCTCTACCCAGCACAGCCTTGCCTCCTATTCCCTCTGTTCACCTTGTCCAGAATCTGAGGGTGATGGGTGGTAGCAGACGTGCCTTGGCCTCTGGGAATCTTCACACTGTACTGCCGTCTAGGAGCACACTACAGTGCAGGAGCACACTTCCTCAGTTTTAGTGATCTGTAAGCAGCATGCCTCCAAGGGGGGAACTAGACCCTAAAACTTCTGCTGTCCCATTTCCTCCAACACCATCTAAGAGGATGAAGAACCCAGAGCTTGATGAAGCTACAGAACTAAGGAGAACAGAGTGGAGGCATCCCAGGCCAGAGGTCTGCAGCCTCTGGTGTATATTTCAGCTATTTTAGGTCAGCTTGGGCAGGATCTGACTTTGGGCTAGAGGCCCAGATGCTATGAACATCCTGAATATCTGAGACGGAGCAGATTCACTTGGGGGGTCGGAAATGAATTGTCAATGGCTTTGCCTTCAGGCAGGTGCTCCACTGGTCCAACTAGATGGCAGACCCTCTCCAGCAAGAGAAAGGCCAAGGCTGGGGCTTCACTTGAGATTCCCAGCACTAGTCTGAGCCTTCAGAACTAGGAATTCTCCCTTTAAACACTCTCAGATACCCCTAGCAGCACCCAACGGACACGTCAGTCAACACTCCAAATTCTATCAAGAGTGGCATTTATTCTCCTCGTGGAGGTGCGGCGCTCCGAGGAGCTGGTGCTATTGTGCTTAGGAAGGAGGTCTGTCCGTCCGTCCGTCTGTCCGGCCGGCCTGGCCCCAAACGGGGGCAGAAGAGGGACAAGGCCCGAGTAAAAATCCCGGCCTGTTGTGGGCCAGGAGTATGTACAAGGTGGCGGGGCGCAGGCGGGGGATGGGGGCGGGGCGGGCCGGCAGCCACAGCCCCCACCCGAGGGCCCCCCACACCTCGGGTCCTACTTGTAGAATCAGTACAAAATAGGTGCTACCTAAACGTTCCTTCTACCTGAATTCGCTAAGTCGGTTATTGTGCTGCTTAGTTATGGGGGCGGAGGGGAGCCCATGGCTTTCCACGGCGGCAGGGTGTGGGCGAAGCGGGAGATTCTGGCGGGCCCACAGCCCTTCCAGCCTTCTCCATAGGTAGGTAGACAGGAGTAAGGAGTGGGGCGGGGATGGGTGCCTCTGTGTGCGTGTGCATGCGGCACAGGCTGGCAGGCCCAGGCTAGGAACTGTGGGCAATTTCGCCAGGTGGAATAAAGGGGTTGGATATGGGCACTGCTATGCTAGTCCTGTGGGTCCACACCAGAAGGGTAGCCAAGCTTGGTGCTGGGATGAGGCTGGCCATATCGTATACTCCACCTTGCTGGACCTGAGCCGCACAGGGACAGCTGAGCCTCAGGGAATCAAAAAATGGGTACCTGTAGGGGTGGCCCTAGTGACGCTGAGCCCCGAGACCCTGGGACCTGTCCAATTTGAGCTGGGAACATAAGGCCCAAATCAAAGGCAGAGCCTGACTACATCCAGCATAAACGGGGACTGAGGTGGGTAGGAGAGGCCATATGGGCCCAGGGATCCAGCACTCTGAAACTGCCTTCCACCCTGTTCTACCCATGTTTGTTAGGCCGCTGTCACTGACAGGCACCTCCCCGAAGGTTGCCATATCTCTGACGGATTCTGGAATGGGCCTGGCTTATTGTAGGTACCCAATAATGAGTCGGTGAGTGATGAAAGACTGACAGAGACTGTGGTTGATACCATTCCATTCCAGCCTCTGGAACCATGACGCCTGCCGGGCTCTGCCCTGGGGTAAGGAATGGGGAAAGAAAGTCTGCGTGGCCGGCCCCGCGCAGCATCCCTGATCTAGGGGCCTATGGGATGGGTAGGGCAGGGGATACCTGATTCTCAGTAATTCTAGAGGCTGCGGCAGCTTCACATGCAGTGCGCATTATTGCTCTATAGTCTGCATCGGACTAACTAAGAGGAAGGGGAGCGGGCAGCCCCGGGAAGGTTTGGGAAGAAGGGTGGGACTGCATGCAGTGATGTCACAAAGGCGGCGGCCAATAGGGCGGGCCCTTGGGGTTGGGTCACCGCCGAGGCTTTGGCATAGACGGGTGAAAGTTGGCAACCGAGTGGGGTGGGGCAGAGGAAGTGGTCCTGGACAACCTAAGCCCCAGGCGTCGGCGGGAAGAATGAGGGTTCGGCGCCCCCTCCCTGACCCGAGTGCAATCCGTTCATAAATAAAACGTATAAATACAGAAAGGAAGAAACCCGACGCATCCGCAACCCCCCCAGGGGGCTTTACCCGCAAAGCAATACAGAGGTGTGTAGAGGGCAGTGGCACGCCAGCCTGCCGGCCCGGGTATCCATCCTCCAACACCCGAAGCCTGGGGAGCGAGGGAGGGGGCCCCGGGGCAGAGTGGGATCGGGAGCTGAGTAGGTCGGATAAGTTCATGCGATTCCGATATGCGTCATTATTATTCGTTATGGAGGACAGAGCCCCGGAGGCCGGGCTGGAAGAATTCGGATTTGGCAAAGGATGCGAGGTGAGGGTAGGAGGGAGGCTCGGACTGAGGCCCCAGAAAGAATCCGAGGGAGAGGGTTGCCGCCGTCCGCGCCCCTCCCTATCCCCAAATCATCTAGCACTCCCCGGGAGGTCTGCAAAGCCTGTGGTACAGAATGCCTCTATGGCCCGCCTGCTCTCCTGCTCCTCCAGCCAGCTGCCCGGATGGAGCTGACTCCCTGGACGCCAGGCTGAAGGCTTGGCCTGGAAGGCTTGGGAAGGGGTGGGGAAGACCTGAGTCTCTGCAACGCGATCCAGGGGCGCATTGGACGGAGGAGGGCGCTCCTTACCTCACCTCTCCCCTGTCTTTAGAGACCCAACTAAGAGATGAGGTTCGGTTCTGGGTCTGGTCGACCCTATTGCTGGGAGAAAGCCTGGGGCACCCTGGAGGAGAGGGGAGGGGTTTCGGGATGGGTCTCCCCTCGGGACCCTATTGCTTGAAGGGGCTGGCAAGTCTCTTGGCGAGCTGGGCGGGGTGGGGCCGGCTCCCTACCCCTATTGCTGTGAGGAGGGGCCCGCCCTCCAGCCCCTCGGCCCGGACGCCAGCGGAGACTTCCCTGGGGGGCCCGTATTGCTGAGAGCCGACCTGGCTAGCGGAAGCTCCGCTGCCCTAGGCTTGAACCGGGCTGAGCTGCGGCGGCGCAGGGGTTGCGGGGCCGCCGGCGCCGCCCTTAAAGCAGGCTGACTCGTAGTGCTTGTTGAGATAAGACTTGAGCGCGAAGCTCTTCTTGCAGCGCTTGCACTGGAAGTGCTTGAAGGCGGAGTGCGTCTGCATATGTGCGCGCAGGTTGGAGCGATCGGCGAAGGCCTTGCCGCAGTGCGCACAGCCGAAAGGTTTCTCGCCCGTGTGAGAACGCATATGGCCCTGCAGCAGCCAGGGCCGTGAGAAGGCTTTGCCGCACACGCCGCACTTGTGGCGCAGATCGTGCGTGAGCAGGTGCATAGCCATGGCCGGCATGGACACGTACACCTTGCCACACGTTGGGCAACGCCTTGCCAGCTGGCTGTCTAAGCTGCGGTGCGTTTGCTTGTGGCGGCTCAGGTTCGACGACGTGGCATAAGTTTTGCCGCACTCGCCGCACGCGTGCCGGCCACCAGCGCCCGGGGCTCCTGGTCCGGAACGCGCCTCGGTGCCCGCCCCCACGCGCCCGCTGCCCCGACTAGCGGACCCTGATCCGGAACCTCGCGTGCCCGGCCCGCCCCCCCCTCCAGTGTCGCTGTCGGGGGCAGCCACCGAGGCTGTGGAGGGAGCCGCGGCAGCGTTGGCATTAGCAGCTTTACGGCGTGAACGCCCGTCAGTGATGAAGAAGGCGTCAGCCGCGTAGCCTTCGCTGACCGCCGCGTCGCCGTTGATGTAGCCACCCGCAGCAGTAGCCAGCTCTGGGCGAGGGGTAGGCGGCGGTGCTGAGCCAGAGGCCGCAGGACCCAGCTCTCCGCGCACAGCCGCAGCATACATAGGCTCCGGGGATGGCCCTTTGAGCAACGCCGCCTCAGCGTCGCCATCGTAGACAGACGCAGGCCCCACGTAGTCACTGAGGTATCCTGCAGGCGGAGGCGGACAGACAGACAGCGGGAGGGGGACGGAACATCAGGCAAGACACACGCAAAGCGGGCGGCGGGAGGCGGAGAAGACACAGCGGAAGATGTTGGGGTCCGGAAAGAAGGCGAACAGGAATTAGGACAAAGGAGAGGGGGCCAGGGACCATAGGGCAAGGAGGATGGAGACCGTGGGGAGAGGAAGAGAGGAGAGAAGAGAGACGACAGAGGATGAGACAGGGCCAGGCAGGGCTCCTCCCCCGCCGCCCAAGCGTCCCGCCCCCGCGCGGGGAGGAGAAAGAGATGCATCTTCGGGCGCGGCTGCCCCCCTTCAGCGAGCCTCAAGGTCAGGGGGGAGGGGCGGCGCTCTTCTCTTCCTCCTCCTCCCCCTCCCCCCCGGGTTCTCCCCACTTCAGCAGTTTTCCCTGATTATGCAACACACTGCAGACCCGCAGCGCACAAAGCCAGTGCCTCCAGCCCAGAGACCCCAACGGTTCTGCTCTTGGGGGTTCCTGGGGTCTTCTTCAGGCCCCAAAATCTGCTTCCAGACTTGATGCTGTCCCTCTGGTACCTTAGGTGTGCCAACAAAATCCCAGCGACTTCTACCTAGCCAGCATCTATCTCTGACCATCACCAGTACTTCCCCCTTATCTCCCATCTCTCTGACCACTCACTGTACTTGATCCCTACCCTTGCAGCTTGAACTCATTTACCTCTACCCATTACTTTCCACCATCCTGGGTCCTACTTTGGTACACATTATTTTCTCCCTGACCCTTCTAGGGACCTTCTTGAGCCCCAAACTGCCAGAGCATCCACTAGGGGACACATTAATAGAGACAAGCTGCAGGTGGACATCATTCATGCCAGTAACTGCCGTTGTTCCCAAAGTACAAGATGAATCTCACGATCTCAAAATCATAAATGCATACCATTCACAATGCAGGCTCTAGCTCTTTCAGGATTACAGTTAGACTGTCAGAAATCATCGGGCCTGATGTCATCTCACAGTGTATACTGCCTACTGACCCTAGCATTGGAACTCACCTCCCACACATATGCAGGGTCACATATGCAGCCATCCAGACACACTCTCAGTCACATGGTGCACATCGGACTCAGTCACGTGGTCTCATGTAGTGGCACACAAGCAGGCACACACACAGGGTCACACACAAGCGCACAAAGTCACATGGCCACACGCAGTCACATGGGCCCACACAGGCTTATGCTCTTGCAGGTCACACTTGCTCTGCCATCCCACACTGCTGGCACTCCTGTTCCCCTTGCCTGCATGCTAACAGTTGTCCTTGAACTTGGGCATCCTTACACAAAGAGCCTCTCCTGACTCAAATACCTTGGCTTCCCTTGCTCACCTCTTCCTCCCTAATCCTGAGTCCAGGGAAGATACTGCTGTTGCCTCTTCTGGTACCTAGGCCCTGAAAGGTGGGTGGCCCTACCAGACCCTATGCCCACTCCCTAGAGCTCCCAGCATTCCCTAGTTAAGCCCTAGCAAGGGGCTTTGAAGATGCAGGCAAAGAAAAGTGAAACAGATCTGGATTTCTTTCTGGGTGTGGGTTTGCATGTGCTCATATAACTGGGTCTTGTTGTGTCAGCAGGTGTCTGTGCAGCTGTGTATATTTCAGCACAAGTCAGTGTGTGGGTCAGTGTGTGGCTTCATTGCTTCCTGTTCCCGATCCCTCTTTCCTATCTATCTAGTACCCACACTCGGACCACCTTGGAAGCTGTCTGGCCTTACTCTGCTCCCCTTTCCTCAGCCTTCATTCTCGGTTCCAGGTTCCAGCCTCAGGCTGCTTCCGCTGGATTTACATCCCCTCCTACCTTGCCACTCCACCCCCACACTCTGGCCACCCACCCCTTCCAGCAAAGCCCTGGGCCCTGCCCCAGCTGCAGTCCAGAGCGCACCTTTATCCTGCAGTCGCACTCCAAGATCGCTGCGGGCGCGCCCGTAGGAGCTGTCGAGGTCTGCAGAAGAGAATGTGTCAAGTTTGACCTTCTTAACCAGGAAGGACCTGGGCATGATTCCTGCGGGGCTCCGGCAGTGAGGGCCTGCAGAGCCGGGGCTCGGGGGGACTGCGTCCGCGGCGAGATCCTGTCACCATCCGAGGAGCGGTGGAAGCAGCACTGTCCCCAGTCTGGCCTGTGGATGCTGCTGGGCGAGTGTGATCCTCTCTCTTCTTTCTGCCCTGCGTCTCCTCTTCTTCCCCTCCAGATCTCTCCTCTCTTTCTTCCTTTCTTTCTTTCTTTCTTCCTTCCCTCCTTCCTTCCTTCCTCCTCTTCTTTTCTCTTCTTTCCTTCCTTCCCTCCTCTGGTCCTGGCTTCCCAGCCCGCAGTGCCGCCCCTGGACAGGCGGGGGAGGAGGCTGGGGGGGGCGGAGAGGGGGGGAGCGGCTCCGTCCCGGGCCTGGAGGCTGCGAATGGGTGCAGGGCTGGCCCGGCCCCACGGCCCCCTTCCCCTCCCCCCCCCGCCGCGGCGGCGGAGCCTCAGTCAGAGGCGCCCCATGCCCCCGGGGGGCGGCAGCGCCTGGCCAAGAGAACACGACAGTAGCAGCAGCAGGAGCACCAGCAGCTTCAGCACCGCGGCCAGCGCTGGCTAGGGCAGCACCGCGGCCAGCGCCCGGGCGCGCTCAGCTGGTGCTGGCGGAGAGGGGCGGGCCACCCGGGCTTGGTCGCCGGGCGGGGGTCCTCGGCGGGGGTCTCTAAGAGGCTGGCTTTATTGTTCTGCAGTCGGAGCGGGCGGCGGCGGCAGCGGCGAGCGGCGGGCGGGGGTCCTCAGGGGGAGGGGTACTCAGGGAGGGCGGGCCGAGGGAGGGAAGGAAAGAGGGAGGGACGGGTGTCGGGGGCGGGGCTCCGCTCTCGGACAGCTCTGAAGCAGGCCTCCTGAGCCCGCAAGCCTCTTCTGCCTACCGCCGAGCGCAGCCTCTGGCTTTTAAAGACAAGCGCTGGGGGATGGGGTGGGCGGGGAGGGGAAAAGGCCGGCGGAAATGGCTACACTGGGCTGGGCCAGGGTCTCCTGGGAGGGGTCCTGGGGATGCCTTGCCTCCACTTTTGCGGGGTTCCCCTGTGCGGCTCGGGGAATGGCGATCTGATACTTGGTAGCATAGTCGGGCGTGAGGGGAGAGGTGGGAATGGGCCTGACGCTCAAGCACCCCAGACTCTGGTTCTTTTGGTGAGAACGCAAGTGAACCTCAGCCGGATCCACGATGCCTCGCTTGGGGTCTGGAGGTTAGGCGCGGGATGTGCGGAGGCGGGGAGAGGCGGGAGACCAAAGGAGTGAATGCTGAGGCAGCAAAAACGCAGTGTGGAAGGAAGCCTGTGTGCGCCCTGTGCCGCAGTGCCTCTTGTCACTCTGTCACCTCGGCTGACCCTGTGCCCGCTGGAGGGACCTTTCTGCCCCCGCCTCTTCCGCGGGATGGATGTCCAGCACAGTTGCGTCGTAGCAAGCTGAGTGTGCATGGTGAGAGGAACTGCCATGCCCCTGTTCCAGAAATTCCGCTTCGTTGGTGGTTTCCGCCCTTCCGCGCGTCTGCAACTTCCCCAGGCGGCTCGCAACCAGGCGAATAACCCTTCTCGTGGCCGCCCGCCCGGAGTTTGCAGCCCCCATGACGTCAAGCCCAACGGCCAATGGCGGGGCACTGGGGGTTGGGGGCCTTACAATGGCCGCGCTCGAGTGCATATGTCCCCAATTAGGGCCGGCCGCCGCCATTGTCCCTTCGTCGCCCCCTCCTCCCGTTGGAGTTTCTGAGCTGATCTCTCCTCACACAGCCTGATCGGACTAGACTATGGTCATGGAGCAGCAAGCTGGGATTGCAGCGCAGTGACCTTATATGGACTGGCCCGGCGGGCGCAGATGCCAGGGCAGCGCAGCAGTGCTGAGCTCGGCTCCCCTCCTGCTTGTGTGCTTGGCTGCTATCTGCATCCACTGCCTCGTGTCTGGCCACGGTGGATGTGAGCTACCTGCCCCACACTGAGCGTGGAAACCACTCGCCTGCTTTATGCTAGCGGCCTAGCTCCTCAGCGGCCGGACATTGATCTTGCATGGCAGGCGCTCCCGAGGGGTAGGGCGGGTACGGCCTCCCCCTTATCGCTAAGCAGCAGCCAGTGAAGCTCTCAGTCGGGGGTGAAGGGCGAGGGTTCCCCGCCAGCCATGCCATTAGTCCCGTCTCCTTCCCAGAGGGGAAAGGCTGAGGTGCAGCCAGAGGCGTCAGGCCAATTAGCATTTTGATTGCTGGACGGGGATTGGGGGGGGGGGTTCATCTGGAAGAAGGTCTAATTACCAGACGGACCCTCGGGGCTCAGGCAGGCTCGATCCCCCTTCAGCCTCCGTTTGCTGCCTTCTTCTGGACATTGTCCCTGCCCCCAACTCTATCCTCCCGCTTCCTTTAGGTCCTCTCACAGGCCTAGTCATCCTATCTAGTTCTGTCCCTATACTTTGCCCCTCTGGTTCCTTCTTTATTAGTCATGGTCCTTTACCCCTCCAGTCTTTCCTGGGTTAATTCCCATTTCCTCTGTAGCTCTGTGCTCAACTCTTTTTCTCCATCCCTTCATATAACCTGTCCTTATGTTCAATATACATCCCTTCCCACCCCTCACCCCTTTGTCCATCTCTCCTCTCCTTTGGCCCCTAACCCCTTTCATGGATGAGGGACACTGTGCCTGGACACATGTGCCCTTGGGTCTCAGGGGCAGGTAACACCAAGGGAACCATTCAAACAGGCCTTGCTCTAGCTACAGTAGATCCCTCAGGACTCCCCCACCACCAGGACAGAGAGGGGGTACAGCTAGGATGGGCACCTGGGTCCAGGCCTTGACCATCAGTCCCCATCAGCCCAGTGCATGGAGCACATGGGACTCAGTTGCAATTACTTGGACATTCCAACTAGCCGTGTGAACTTGATTTCCTGCCCCCACTTTCATTTAGAAAGTCCCCAGCCCCTTGATCCAACCAGAGAGTTGAATAGTTGACCACTCAATTTGGCAAGTTGTAAGCTCCTTTACCCAAGGACCCACTGAGTCCCTTCCATTGAGAGTTGCAGCCTGAGAAGGCTTAGGTTGCTGTAGAGGAGCAGCAGATAAGCCCTCAGTTGGTGGATAATTGCAGGCCCCACTGTCCTGGCCCTCCTAGCAACTTCCACAAAACCTTGTGAGGCTCTCTTCTTGCTATTTTGGTCCAACTTTTATCCCTTTTCAATAAGGGTCTAGTATTTAGTCTGCCCAGGTTTAAGGGGCGGTAAGGGAGATATGGGATGGGATATTCCCATTGTTGTGTTGCTAACAGCCCACTGATGTGTCACTACTATGTCCACCTAGAGAATCAATGGACAGCCTCACTGGAGGGTCCACCACTGGGCTGAGACATGTGATTGACAGAGAATGGGAAGTTGGATTGAAATAACTGGTGAGGACAGCTTCTGTGGTACCTGGGTGAATGAGATCATTAGCAGGAAGAGGTCAAGACCATAGTCGTAGGGAAATGGAGGCTAGTCCTTGAGATTACTTAATTCAGCCACAGAGATGGCCAATGTAGCCAGTGAATTGTCTGAGCTAGGAGTCCTGGGGGAAAGGGTCTGTAAGTTCAGTAAGGAACAGGTGACAAGATACCTTACTTACATCCAAGCAGAGGGGGGGGGGCATCTGTGGTGAAAGAAACAGTAGCCTCCAAAAAGGGCTGCCCAAACTAGGGGGCAGCCAAAGAGAAGTTACATCTCCTGAGCTCACTAGGATAGGTTGAAGGTCCAGGGAAGGCCTACTTCAAAACGCCTGAAGGGCAAAGCAGACTTGGTCCTCACTGAGGCAGAAACATTGGAAGCTATGTTAGTTACTTCACCATTGTGACTGGTATCACAAGGAAGGAGGAAATGTTTGTTTTTAGATTTAAACCCCCATATTCTCTATTGTCTCTTGGCCCTGCTTAGGCAGATCACGAGAGAAAGGCAGAGCAGAACAGTTACTTCACAGCAACCAGGAAGCAGCAGAGAGGGATAGCTTGGGGTGGGGGTGGGGTGTTGAACAAAGTACATATTTCCAAATCACCAGCTCACGACCCCAGTATTATGCTTCCTCCAACTAGGCCCCACCTACCAATTTCTACTTTTTTGTTGTTGTTTTGAGACAGGGTTATTCTGTATAGCCTTGGCTATCCTGGAACTCATTTTGTAGAACAGGCTGGCTTCAAACTCAGAGATCCACCTGCCTCTGCCTCCTGAATTCTGGGATTAAAGGTGTGTGCCACCACTGCCTTGCTACTACCACTTTCTAATAATGCCATAGTAGGATTCCACCAATAGATTAATAAGTCCTAGTAGTCAATCAGTTTCCAAATGCCCCACTTCTGAACGTTACTGAGAATCAGACCTTCAACATGTAAGCCTTTTGGAGGAATACTTTATATTCAAACAATGACAAAAGTAAAGTGATGGGGGAACCATGAGAGAGTCTGGATTGCTGGGCGGTGGTGCACACCTTTAGTCCCAGCACTCAGGAGGCAGAGACAGGTGGATCTCTGTGAGTTCAAGGCTAGCCTGGTCTACAGAGTTCCAGGACAGACAGGACTGTTACACAGAGAAACCCTGTTTCAAAAGAGAGAAAGAGAGAGATAGTCTGGATCACAACACAACCATAGTTGTGTCCATGAAAAGTAAAGCACAAGAAACTGAGTTCAAGCACTTGAACCCACCATGCCAGGCATGGTGGTGGCATGCACTTATAATCCCAGCACTGGGGAAATAAGAGCCAGCCAGATCCCCTGAGCTCACTGGCCAGTCCACCTAGCCTTCTTGATGAGTTCTTGACCAATGAGAGACCTGTCTCAAAAAAAAAAAAAAAAAAAAAAAAAAAAGAATATTTATGAAGTACAACACCAGAGGATGTTCTCCTGTCTCAGCATGCACATACACTTACATGTTCACACATGATCTTACCTGCCCATGCACAAACACCTGCACACATGATCACTTACACTTGACCACACACAAAAAACAAATATTAAAGTAATAAATATTTCATTAAGTATAACATCAGTCTAGTGCTCTATAAAAATAACTGATATGAGTGAACTTTTACAGAATGAACATACTTAGGCTGAAAAGAGGTCAACAGGTGATTGGTACATAAAAACTTACTAAGGATCCCAAAAGATACCAATTTAGCTAACTACTCATAGTGGCACATGCCTTTAATTCCAGCACTAGAAAGACAGAGGCAGGTGATATCAGATCAAG